TCAACAAGAAAAAGGAAAAGTAAATGATTTTGGCAATGGTAATTCAATGAAGCCATTGTGCTAATTGTCAACTACATAAAATACAAGAGGTTTACAGATGAAATCAATACCATGGAATAAATCATTAAAAAGTATCACAATTTGAAAAAGAAAAAAAATCACCATTTGTTAGTCATTGTTAACAAGCCTATCCATAAATGCCTTTTTCCAGAGGGTACTTCCCTTCTTGGAGTTTGTTGATATTTTTTTGCATTGTCTGATAGGTTTCACTTCTGTAACAAACCCAGTTTTAGAGTTTGCCCATTGATTTACAGGTGGCTTGTTCACAAATTAATCAGCATTATTAGGCTTTGAAACAATGTTAAGTTTTTTTGTAGTTTTACTGCTATTTTACAAGAATATGTGACATTTATAAAGTAGAACAAAAGTTTGCTCTGAAATATTTATTTTGGATAGTATATATACATTTGAGGAACACTGAAACATTGCAAGTTGATATCGCTTACCATGCAGTGGATATCAGTTTACTAGTAGATTAATATTATCAGTTCACAATCATTTTCATAATCTATGCAGCCATGTTGACTTATCAATAAAATTACCTGATCTTTCGCATGTAGTTCAAATTAGTTGGCCTGTTGTTTTTATGAGCACTTATTAGACACAACAAAAACAGTGCAGAAAAATATCCAGGCTGTCCATACTGGCAAATACTGGAAAACCAAGACTTCGGTTAGCATGATAAGGACTTGGTTGTCCAGGGCCGTACAGATTTTAAAACAAAAACAAACAAAAAAAACAATATCAACAACATAGAAGCCCCGTTTAAAAATGAATTCAAATGGTTTTGATGCATAGTGAGTGATTGATGTGAACTACGGAACGTGAACACGAAATAGTTTCCAAACGCGGAAAAGTTCTAGACCTTTAGTCCACCAAAACAACTTATTGCGCAAACACACCTTTAATTTGTCGCAAACGACAGGACAAACGCTAGTTTCGAGCAGTGGCTCGAGCGAACTCATCGTTGGTACTTAAATTAAATGCTGGCGAAACGACTGAAATCCATGTAACTATTTTAAAGGTTTTGGAAATATAAAAACACCTCTTACCTTGTTATTCAGTTGCATTGTGATCTTCTTCCGTTTATATTTTGGATCGGAAACTTTAATAAAACCACAACATTTGTTACTGGTAGCCACCATGTTTTCTTTGAAGTTCTAACAGGCCTGGGTGCAAAGCTTCAGTGTTTTGTGTATCCCTACCAGGGGTACACCTATTACTAGTGATATGTGTGCGGGGATACACATATCACGGGGGTACACATAACACTGTGACACCAATACCGATACCGACCGATTCGATACGGGCGATACCAAGATCACATCGGAAAATATCGATACAGTATTGGTGCTTTCGATACTGCACGTGACCTGCCCGCGCTTTGTTGCACGCCGGCTACTAGCCGCTGACAAGGAGTGTAAAAGACTCTGGGCTCGAGATCGGACAATGACCACCGTTTGACCACCGCTTGTAAACCAGTCTTGGCCTGTGAGCGCTTCAAGAGTGAACTCTTTCACGACCATGAGTTTCGACTTAAGTAAGTCCTTAATCCAATTTGGAATTTTTGACTGTCTTATTGACTCTTTCATAGAGGACTTAAACAATGTAAGATAACCCTATATTTCGTAAATCAAATCACATGACTTTACCATTTCTTCGATATCTATATCCAAGAAAAACGTCAGTATCGTACTCGGTATCATATCGATTTGGAAAAACAGTATCTGCCTATCCTTAATGACAGTGTGGAGCACAGGGTCATTTCGGCTCCTTGTACATGTTAGCAGTATTGTCGCCAAATAGACCATGGCTTGGAACATCACGTTTAACTACATCAAGGTGCAGTGGTCAGCAGGCACAGGATGAATACGAATAGTTTGTTTATGCTGCATTGATATACTTTCGACTCCTCGTTGAAAAGGCGAGGGTAGCAAAGAATGAGGCGTGACGGGTACTTTAAAAAATGTTTTTACGAATTTGAAAGATAAAACTTCCGACCTCACCCAGCTTGGCTTTTCTGTAAAATTCACGCGTTGAGTATTAACTACTGATTTACTTTGGGCTTAATAAGTCATGTAAAAACCCCCTGTCTCGGTCGCACGACACGGTAAAGATACTCAAACTATCCTTAAGTTCACAGTTGTATATACCGTAACAAAAGCTGACGAGTTATCTTATCCCCTTGGGTTAAAAAATGCCAGTGTCATAAATTCACACACGGCACAAAGTGAAAAAGAGTCCCAAGGAGCCCATTACTTGCATGTTGCTTCTCTTACAGATGGCTATCAAAACGTCCCATGCACGGTCAAATCAGTGTACAGGGTTTTGATTCAATTCATGAAAATCGACGACTGAAGTGCGATGGAAGGGGCGCGGTGGGGGAGATTTTGCACGCAAAACTTGATGGTTGAGGTATGGATCTTTATCAATTGGAGTCAAGTTGAAAGGGATCAAGTTCTTCACTTTTTTTTGAAAGGAGCTATTGGTCAGCGGTGATGTCATTTATAGTTTACACCTCGATCATTCTTAAGTGGGAGTGTATGTGCTGAACAGTGTATATCTGCTGATTCTCCTCTGTGCGTCTATTTCTCAGTCAGAGCAGACAGTTGCGCTGTAGCACATCCATATTGCGCTATACGATTTTAAACTTTTCCAGGGAATAGGTCGAAACAACGAGCCTTGCATTTTAATTGCATTTAAAGGTTCTAAATCATTCATAATTTGCAATGCCCAATACCTTTACACATTTACGAGTTAAACAAACTTTTTCCTCGACAAAAGAAACTCTTGTACTGCTTCGGCGAGCGTAAGAAACAGTCGATTATCGATCATTCGTAACAGTGGGTTACCCTCCGTTATTAACCTAGCGAATGAAATGATCGCCTGATCACAGGTTTCAGCGTCCGTGCAAATCGGCCCAGAATCCTACAAAATTAAATTTTGAACTACAATCGACTTTTCTTATTCTTCAATGACAGGTTATCGGCGAAGAAGTTTAAGATATGTTTCCAGGAATCTTCCTGGGCAAATGCTTGCTGTCGTGGTTCACCGCCCCATTCACAACACATCCTGAACGACTTATGATACGAAAGATGACACGTGGGTGTGTAAGGAGGCTCTATCAAATGTCCCGTACCGGGATAACTATGAATTGTACAACGAGATTCTTTTCCATACTTGCGCAATCTGGAGCGGATTTTGCCTGCCATTTCCTGTGCCTTCCAATTCTGGTCATCAGCCCCGCATATGAGCAGTATATCCCCCTGAATTTTCTCAACTTCGATGGTAGCAGCACGTCCCGGACCATCAGTCATATCCGGCGGATATGATTCTTTAAAGATCATCGCTCCATTCTCAGACAGTTTGACGAGATCCGGTTTAAATTTAAGGAAGGCCAACGGCTCCCCTCTGCATTTCAGCGGAAAAGCTATGAGAGCATGCGCAGGAGAGACACCCACAACTGCGGTTACTTCTTTGCGATGTGCTGCTAAAATGAGAGCTAACTCCGAACCTTTAGAAACGCCCATCACTCCCAGACCGCGTGACATAACGTCAGGATGCGCCAGCATCCAATCACAGGCCTCGAAGAAGTAATCTAACTCAAGTTCTGTCGCTACCTTCGGCAAGTCATCGTACGCGAAGTACGCTAGGGCTAAGGCTGCAAAGCCATGAGATGCCAACAGGGAGGCCTTAAACTCTACTAAACCTCCAATCGTGCCGAACAAGTCAATAATACCTAGAAAGAGAGAGAAAGAGGATGAGAGGGTATTAGTTCCACCCTTGCAACCGTTGTTTATTATTGTTACACAATATAGCAGAAGGAGAGATCGTCATTTCTACCACATGTGTACAAAACAATTTTTTAAAGTCAAATTACCACCTTCCCCCCCGCCCTCCTAGAAAACTTGTCAACTGGAAAAAAATAATAAGTTGTGCAAAATTGTTGTGTCTCTCACAACCTGCCACTTATATCCACTTCTTTGAGTCTCTTCGTCGATTTGACACCAGAATTTTCCTTGTGTCTTAAATAGGAACTCCTCAGGTACCACGCACAGTTAACAGTGGCATTGGTCATGTGATGGAAGATTAAAATTCACCTGACCCTCTCGTGGTTTAAGCCCGTTGAGATCCGAATCTTTTTCTGTTTGACAGCTGCTTATTCATAACGCAACCATTTTATTTTTGCGAATTTCGTATGATATCCTATGATGTCATTGTTTTAGTACGTCACGCAACGATCCTTCCTCAAAAGCTGTGCGGTGTCCCGAAAAAGGCCCACGCGTGAATTCCCTTAAAGGATTCCTCCTCGAAGTCAAAGAAGGCTGTAAATAAGAAACAGTCTCTACAACTCACCTGGAAACGGTCCTTTTCCTGGAGGTAAAAATAAAGTGCCTCGCAACCTTCCATTCCTAACAGGAATTCTTCGCACACCCTCACTCATGTACCACCTCTCGAATGTCACGCTACAGATCGGCTGCAAGTCTTTGCGGACTTCGTTACCGGTACAATCCTCTACATGGCCATTAAATAAAAGTAGATGAATGTAATAAGGTTTAGTGACGTTCTTCTTGCTTAGCCGTTGTCCTTTCCTTTGTCCAGGCAAAAGTTTCATGCTCCACAGTAGGCCCATAGAATCGACACCAGTGTATGTTCCAGATAAAGATGGAGTTTCCGCAGTACAAACACTTCCTGCTCCATCCGCGATAAAATGGCCGGAAGATTCAAATTCTTCTTTGGAATCTCCCGTCAGTTTTGCCTTCAATGTGATTCGCTGCCCAGGGGTGAGACCTTTGACTACGATGCTGATCTTTTCGTCGATTAAAGATTGCATTGGATTCACCAGAAAATGGGGATTGAGTTTGGATTGACATTCGACAATGTTGGAGTCAAAGGCATCCAAATCTTCTGTCTGGGTGATGTTTTCCGGCTGAGGTGAAATTTCTAAACTATTCAAGTTTTCCATGACGTTTAGCTTCTTCCTCTGAAATTTTGAAGGGAGAAATTGAGAAAAGATTGTTCGCCTACATAGAACTTCACCCACGTACACGATCAAACTAAACGATCGCTTCCGAGAAAAATTGTGAAAGTTTTGTAATAAGACTGACACGAGACGCTTCGAAATGCATGTAAGATTTTGCAATTACGTCACGTTCGATATTAAGGATGACTATCTTGTGATATCTGAATGACAGTCAGTCGATAATCAGTCATCAATCAATCGTCTTTAAAAGGCATATCGCTCAAATATCGGTAGCTTGAAAGTAACCCACCTCATTTCCGTTTAATTTAAACGTGACTCATTAATGACCAGTCATTATTTGTCGCCTGCGGGGGGAGGGAAGGAGGGAGGGGGAAATTTGGTGGAGCCACGTGCTTTTCAGGGGGAATGGAGGGGGGAATCAGTCGTCACGAACAGAGTGAAAAGGAGGGACGATAGAATATTGAATTCCAGTTGTCACGTTTACGGAGATGAACTGTCATTTTTAACACTTAGAACCTGACATTTATTCGTTAATAAAAGAATTTCCGTTTGTGGCCGCCAGTAAAAATCATTGTTACTTTTTTATTTTCTCTACGTTAAAACGTTAGCTAAATTTCCTTGCCATGAGCTCTTAGTTCAGTTTTCAGTAGATAGTCATACAGCAAGAAGTAAACTTAACGGAGTTCAGAGTTTTTGAGAACGTTTTTGTTCCCCGGAGCCTGGAGACAAATCCAATGCAAGTCATGCTTGTTGCGATCTTTTTAATTGAGCTTTTGTTCCTTCTGTAACTTTTTTGTTTTTTTTTTTTTTTTTTTGTCATGCTTGTTGCGATCTTTTTAATTGAGCTTTTGTTCCTTCTGTAACTTTTTTGTTTTTTTTTTTTTTATTATTTCAAGACACTGTATATTTTTTTAGTTTTCACCGCATGTGCTTTATGAATAAAATAATTTGAAATCTTGCTGCCTATCCTCATACTTCACGGTGGCTGACCTGGCGAACTCTAGTGCACAACACCACGTGTCTGCGGCGCCGGTAACGCGACACCAGTAATACTTTAAATGCCAGTGACAAGCATCATAAGACCATTACAGACCCCTATGGGGGTATCAGGTAATTTTAGGCGAGACTCAGCCCGTGACACAACAGAAGGCCTCTCCCTCTCCTCCCCCCTCTCTCTCGAGAGATGGGAGATAGAGCGGTCGTCCTTAATTGTAAACTCCATTTTTCAAAACTTATACAACCGGATATTCTAATGTGCAATTTCAGATATTTTAATTTTTTATATTTTTTTATTTTTTTATGTTTGCGGAAAGAACCCACAAAACTGTTAAAGATCAAAGAGTGAACGCGAACGGGTCTGTGTGTCTTTTTCTCCGCCTAAGATGTATTAGTCTAAATACATCAACTTTCCCTTCTACCCACCATTAGGTGCTTAATAATAATAATAATAAGGTATTTGTTGAAAAATAAAACAGTCCTCCTCAATACTTGCCGGCTTGATTCTGTATTGATATTGTAAGGAGGAACCTTTATTTTGTCACTCTCGTGCGGGATAAGGGATGGGATCAGGGACTCATACGAAAATGACTAAGAGAATCAGAGTGGCCCTGGGATCGATTTAGCGCGCGAGGGGGTCTGGTCATTACGAAATATTCAACATGGCGGCCAAAGCACGCTTCGACCAATAGCGACTTTGACATCAATTTTTTTACAATCATGGTAAATCTTACAACAATTGCTCAAGGTAGGAAACCTCTTCTTATCTATGGAGTCAAAAGAGGCAAGGTTCCGACGAAACTTCGTCCACATATGGTTCCCAAACCGCGAACTCTTGGAGGTAAGGTGAAGTTAAACAAAAAGTCAAGCGATATCTAGCTTTCCGAGCTGTTCGATTCCTTGGAAATTTTTTTTTTACTTTGGTAGTTATGGTACGTTTAATTTATTTCATATTGTGATGTTCTAGAGGGAAGTTGTATGAATGAGATGTTCAAGCTCATGGCATGCTGGAATAGCAACGGATTTATCGACACCCACTGCCAAGAAGAAATCAGTTTGTTTCTCGACTGTCTTTCTAGTCAGGTATTTTTGATGATTATCTCGGTTTCAGATAGTAAATATGACAAATAAAAAATTGCTTTGCAAACTTTTTAAACTAGTTCCTGACCCTTACCAAGATTTTACTTCATCCCAAACTTCTTGCAGTATAACTGAAAAAGAAGTTGACTTGAAAAATATTCACTTTGAAGAACGCCTTTTTACATCTCTGCCCTCCTTTGGAACATTTACACTTCTGTGGAATTTTTATTGTTTATGGAAATAGAATTGAAGGACTGTTGTTTGTTTCACAATGCCATCACTTCTAATAAGCATTCTGACATTTTCAATAGGCCATTTTGGATATGTTATAATTCCAATTTGGCTCCATGGCTTGGGGAAATAAAACCAATGAAATTAATCATTCATCCCCCAAGGAATTATAAGCTAGAAGACTTTTTTTATTGAAGCAGGAAGTGAATTCCATGCAATGGCAGCTCTATGCCTAAAAGTCAGCCTGCCAATTTCTGTTTTAGGACTTGGAAACTCAATATTCATTGATTTCCTCAGGCAGTGAGATGATTGTTTTAACATTACTAGATCATTTAAATCATTGGTATTGCATCTATGGTAGGTTTACATGCCTGCATGTATTTGTGGCTTGGTAGCTCAGTTGGAATTAGAGCCCAACTGATATCTTGTTTAAATCCTATTGAAGTCTAAATTTCTCAGGCTTCATATCTGTAATTGCTTGTAACTGCAACTACAATGATATTTTCTTTGCTTGCAACACATGACTGCAGCAACAATTGATTTCATGCTATGCTTCACTTTCACAGAGATCAATACAAATGCATAGGTGGAGCATAGATAGCATGCATCAAATTGCATCACAAGTATATTGCATGCACTGATCATAAGCAAAGCTTATCATGGTATAACTTCAACTTTCTCCTTCCCCGCACTGCTGAGAAAAGAGGAATTTATTCCACTTAACCAAGAAACCTGATTTAAATAATAATTAAAAAGAGAAGAATTACCAGAAACCAACTAAAATGTAAAAAAGTATTTTGACATTTTAGTTTACAAAGGTCTAAGATTGGAAGCCAGAAGTCTACATTTTTGATTGATTTTTAACCAGAATATGCTTTCATTTTAATTGTTGTTAGTAGTTTTTGCATAGCATTGTATGTTTTTACTTTTTTTGTTTTTTGTTTGCAGACAGGCACACAAAAATCTTCCTCTGCCTGGACCATAGAGGAAATAAATGCTACACTTAAGAGACACACTCCTCATATAAAGAAAAGGCAGAGTCATGAGTTTGACACCTATACTGGGGAAAAAACAGACTAGGGATAGAACAGAGCTGACAAGGAGCCCTCAGAAGAGACTGCCACAGTAATCTGTGGATTTCCATGTTCTGCAATTGACCAGGCTCTTTATAAATTAAGAGTGATTTTTGATGAAGTCTTTTAATTTATAAGGTAAACATCACAAGGAGATGTGAACTGGCTGGATAGCACAAAAATGTGGGGGGACAAGTTACTTTTGGCATGGCTTTTATTACTGATTAAGAGGTTGAGGTGACTCACAGAGTGATGAGATGGTTCAAGTCTTTACACCTTTGTCAAAAGAGCTGATCAACTTTGTCTTTGGATCAATCAACTTTGTCTTTGGATCAATCAACTCTGTATCATGATCAATCACAGAAAATGGAGATGCAGTCATACAGAATCACACAGAGGCTCTAATATGTTTAACACTCTTTTGACAATCCGTACTTTACATGAATTTGTACTGCTTGTAAGATGTAAATGTGAGAGATACACAATTCAACTTTAAAAGAACTTTTTGTGCAGATTTAAAGAGGCCGAAGAAATACAAAATATTGTGTAATCTACCAGTTCATATGATATCTGTAAAAATGTGCAGGTGAGTCAAATTGGAGACATTTTCTAACAGACAGACAGACAGTACAGTCAAACCTGTTTTAAGTGGTCACCCACAGGGAATGGCAGGGTGACAGCTTACTACAGGTGGACCTCTTCAGGGGCGTAGCCAGGATTTTTCAAAGAGGGGGTCACAGAGGCTACTCACAAGATTGTCATGTCGACCTACACGCCATGCTTGTCAAACAGGATCAAAATGTCGAAGACAGAATTTATATATTGAGTTGCCATATTTATGTCCAAATTTCAATATATATATTCAAAGAGCAATATTTACCTCCAAAAACTGTAATATATATGTTCAAATGCTATAATTTATTCTTCTGAGTTATTTTCTCGATTTATATATTTCTTTCGTGTCGATATAAATATTTCACCCAGTATTTCGACAAATATATTTTTTATGTTAAGTGCGTTATGTAATTCAACTTTGGAATCTCTCTATGCGTCATCTAAGTACCTAATGAAATGTCCGCTATCACGTGAGCGCGAATAAAGAACAGCATGGCTTTAATCTTTAATCGAGATGCTCCTAAAACAGTAATAGCTATACTAGGAGGGCTAATTACAAAGAATAAAATTTAAATAATTTATATACAGTTTAAGGTTTAACAATACAAGAAAAACAAAACTTGGATAAAACAAAACAATATAAATAGCGTAAATCGGTGCGTTTGCGGTCCCTGCTAACGATGAGAGTTGCCATCTCCAGCCTCAAATCACCACAAGCTTCAATCCACAAATGAACTACGGTGCAGCAAGTATTAAGATCTTCAAATCTCGAACAAAGGTAGTTTGACCGGGGAGCGATTCCTCCACTCTGGCTGACAACAACCTCAAAGTTCGTTCATATTGATTAAGTCTTCGACACCAGAACTCTGCACTGTCAACTTCGTTGGTGGACAAGTGATTTCTTGCCCCTCGCATGACATTCACCAGCGAAATAAAAAACCATTTACGTTCGGAAGCCAGTTGGCCGCCATGCTGTTCTTAAAATTCGGGCTCACGTGATAGCGGACATTCAATAGGTACTTAGATGACCAATAGAGACATTCCAAAGTTGAATTACATAACTCACTTAAAATAAAAAAATATATTTGTCGAAATACTGGGTACATGGGTGAAATATTTATATCGACACGAAAGAAATATATAAATCGAGAAAATAACTCACAAGAATAAATTATACCATTGGCACATATATATTGCAGTTTTTGGAGGTAAATATTGCTCTTTGAATATATATATATTGAAATTTGGACATAAATATGGCAACTCAATACATAAATTCTGTCTTCGACATTTTGATCCTGTTTGACAAGCATACCACGCCGTGCATATTTTACTTAATGTTACAGTTTTGGGATGAGCAGTGAGAGTATAGTGGGCAGGCCAAGATATTGTCAAGGCGTTTTCACCACCTGAATATTGTAGGTTGTTTGCTCAAAAGAAGGCCTACCAAGGGGGGTCACGGGCACCCCAGAACCCCCCCTGGCTACGCCCTTGCTCTTAATACAGGTTCCACGTAGGGGTAATATAAAAAAAGGTAAAAATGCCATTTTATGCAATAAGTGAGCACTTTATGTACAAATAACGCCCAAAAAATACTCCTAACATTGGTTTCGGAACGAAACATGCATTAAATCTTGCTTGAAAGATTAATCCTAGTTCTATTTGAGTGGTTCACTCAAAAGTTCACCAGGACCGCTAAACAGAGATGACCGCTGAATAGAGGCGAGAATTGCAGTAACTACGGGGGAAAAATTCGGGACTTTGACAATCGATCGCTTAATACAGGGTGACCGCGTAATACGGTGCCACTTGATAGAGGTTTGACTGCAATTACGGGGGAATCTATTTGATACAGATCAATAATGAAATAAGTATGGAGACGCAAAACAACAGCCAAAGCAATCAAAGGAAAAGCTCGATGTAAAGCTGCGGCTCTTTTTTTCATTTTTAAACGAAGGAACACGGTGGTGTAATCGTTTGCTAGTTGGTGTTAACATTAAAAGGGAAGAATAAATGCACTAGAACTCCACTCACAAGATGTAACTATTTCATTCCTCTGTACGCAGTTGTTTACCTCGGCCAGGAAACTCGTCATTCTCATCGGATACCTTTTAATTTTTTAATTTATTAGCTTCACCGACAGGCAGGGGAACCGCAACAGCTTGCGCCAATTACTGTGGGCCCTAGTACCCACCCATCCCACTCTAGGGGAGGACATCCATCACACAGTGATCTCGTGCGTGGGAAATTAACGTCTCCTACCCCAACCCTGCAGGAGACGAGACGTACGGTTTATTCGTCCTTATCCGAGAAGACTAGAATGTCTATCCATTTCCTCATGTTATAGAAAGGTAGCACATTCTCCTCAGTAATTTTAAGACCTTGAGTGGTGGTCCGGCCGGGGTTCGAACCCCCTCGACCTCCCGTTCAACAGTCCGGCGCTCTATCCATTGAGCTAACCGAGAGATTCTATCCATTCTATCCATTGAGCTAACCGGGAATTCAAGATGTTAACAGTCTCCACATTATAATTTCGTATTATCAACTGAGTTGAGTGGTAAATTGGTCACTGTAAAGAGTTTCAAAGCTGACGTTTCGAGGTCTTTGCTTTGACGAAGGGCAAACGCTCGTAACGTCAGCTTTGTCAACTCGGTTGATAAAACCAAATTACCTTGTTACTCCCACGGACGTAGTACCACAGTTTCTTTACATTTTTACCCCTTTATTCATTGCCCTCTACTTTATTTTTCGGAAGCTCGGAAAGGTTGGTGTAAAAGAAATCTGTGGCATCGCACGAGATGCATTTGTCGTTGTTGTCGGGAGAAAAATAGACATTCAGTCTGGACTGATTTGAAAATAAACATTTACAACACGATGATAGGATTAATGAAAGCTTTTTACTCTTGGGTGATTTATTCAGTACATTAAAGAGCGAACCAAAAAAAACCCTGACAACAAATGTTTCGTACAAAAATTTTTCATGAAAAGTAACAAAGTATGGACAAATGACCCACTGGGTATTTTGAGGTGAAATTCGACACTCAATAGCAATAAAACGTATTTCCATGCCCTTACGTGTCCCTTGGTTTTCCTCGTTTGACCACCGGGTTTAGCTATGCCCTTATATTATGCGCAAGTTCAGATCGTTTGAAAGACACTTTCGTGCTTCTCAAAACAGATTGATTTTGCCTTGGAAACCGTATCACAATGTGCTGGTCACCCAATTGCTATTTAGTCAACATCTCAGGACATTAAGTTGTAAATGTTTGCCGTGAACTACAAAATTTACCTTGATGATACGACTCGCAAGACCGCTTAAGAAGAAAGTGGGATCGAAGCTTCTTCGGATATGCTTTGTGACAATTTTTCTCACATGCGTTTGTTTTGTTCGTCTATCCCTAAAACCTTTGGATTACCACGATGAAAAGCTCAATGAAATTTCAAGCAATGATTTCGGCGGTTTCAAGACATTCCTCGATGGTTCGACAGAAACAGCGCGTAGAAACCTAATCATAGTGTCTCATGGTCGATCTGGGTCTACTCTGACAGGAGATATTTTCAACCATCATCCTTCAGTGTTTTACATGTACGAACCGTTACAAACCGCGCAACGAGTTCACAAGAAGAACACGAATCAAACTAGTTACAACAGGCTGGCAGGAGAGCTTTTAGCCTCCCTCGTTCGATGCAGATTCGATCAGCCTCAGATGCTGGCGGACATTGAAAGTTACTACCGCAAACCAGCTCACCCGCGCGTCAGTCATGCAATGGGTTCACCACCTCTCTGTCCCTATGAAATGAAGGATCCTAGATGGAGTCCCGAACGTTGCCCTCCTATGTCAAACCAGTTCTTAGGTGGTGTTTGTAAGGATAAATACGATATAACTGTCTTGAAAATCCTGCTGTCTCGAATTCCTGAGAATAATATGAAAACAGTTTTAACCGCTTGTAACTCGCAAGACGTCGACTGCAAGATTATCTTCCTTGTTAGAGACCCTCGCGCAGTAATCCCGTCTTCACTTCAGATTGGTTTTTTTAAAGAACAAGGAGGGTCCGATTCTAAGTTAGGCACGAGGGTGTACAGCTACGCGCTGTGTCAGCAAACGGAGAAGAATTTGGAACTAGTTAGGAAGTTACCGGACTCTTTGCGTGCACGGATTAAACTTCTGCGGTACGAGGATTTGGCAATGGAACCATTAAAAACGTTAGACAGACTTTACAATTTTGCTGGTTTACCTGTGTTGGATAGCATACGCGCATGGTTAAACGAAACCACGCAGCAAAGTAGGAAGGCCTGTAATCGTGAATTAGATGGTCCTTTAGTCACGTGCACAAAAGATGATGCTTGGGCAGCGGCAAATCGCTGGAGATGGAAGGTACATCCGCACGAAATCAACATGATAGAGCACTACTGTCGAGGCACGATGCGCCTGATGGGATATCGGCCTGTGGACATGTCGCATGACCTATTGGCAAACGACAAGATTCCACTGTTCAGCGATGACTATGAAGCGAAACACTGGTTTTTAAATAACTCAACTCGCGAAGGTGACTCTTTACCTTGAAACACCTCCATGTTAAAAGATAAATCACGTGTATTCCAGAAAATTTTGATAGCAAAGGGCTTCGATTCATTTAGTTCGTACCAAACAAAACCATTTTGAGCTACCTTAAGTTTTTTGGCGTTTTTTCTTTTCTTGTGGTATCACAATAAATTTTCGAGGCCGAGAGCTATCATTCAGTCATTCGTTATCAAACAGAACCATTTTAATTTATTAGTGCAGTAAATGGTTTGAACCCGGGGGTAACATCTGAAGGTGTAGTCTGATCGTCCGGGTGAGTGTAGTCCTGAGAAGGTCTGTTGTCGGTGGTAGTGACTGACGTTTCGACAACCTGTGCGGAAGTCATCATCAGAGTCAAGTGAATGATTGTTGTCAGTAGAATGTTCTTATTCCAGTTCGTGTGAAATGNTTCTTCTCAATTATTTTAAGACCTTGAGTGTTGGTCCGGTCGGGGCTCGAACCCTCGACCTCCCGCACAACGGTCCAACGCACTATCCATTGGGCTAACTGTGCCATTCGCTCGCGAAAGTGAACTCTTTGCCTTGAAACATCTCCGTATTAAAAGATAGCTTCCGCTGGAAAGACTAGGTACTTTCGGTTCAGACTCCCCACCCCAGTCAGGCAAGATTCGAATTCCCCACCCCCTAGGCTCAGACGAAAGGCAAATGTTCGTGAGTTTCCCGGGGAAGGAGAAGGTCGGCGCAACACTTAGAACATTTGTCAAGGAGACTTTTCATCTATAAATGGGACTAAATTATGGAATAAATATCTCAACGTATTTACCCGTTTAATTCTTTTCGTTATAGAAATAACACGATAATTTCGTGGCACCATTTTACAGAACCTTTTTACATATTTGTCCATACGTTACAGCATGTAAAGTCATTTAAAATAACTATTTCGTATTTATCTAGACTCTAGAATAAGCGACTACCAAAACCTATACTACAAACAGGGATGCCATTAAAATTGAGCAAAGGCATTAAATTAAGTATGGCGTATAAAAGACTAAAAACTTCCGAATAAATATATCGATAGTGTTTGCATTACTTTAAAGGGATTCCAGTATCTTTGGCGAGAACTGACCTTTTTACAATGCAATTTGCTGCCTTATTGACCCTTTGACCATCACGAGGAGCCAGAATTTAATGTCTCGTTGCAATATCATCCCTGAATCACACATTCAGCTCAAGAGAATAGAGGAAATGATCACCAAATAAAGAAGCTCTTGATTGTTAAACAAATTTCTCCCTATTAGCACCGTGGAGATCAGTACGGAGAATATGCATACTGATGTTAAAGTTTAAAGTTTTATAGGAAACAACTAGTAATACTTGGCGTTCTTCTTTGAAAATTCACTTTCAAATATCACGGCATACAGCTTAATTCATGAAAAAAAAAAAAAAAAAAAAAAAAAAAGAATCGCGCTTTTATATTAAATATAAATAAGAGTAGAATTCAAGCTGTTGTGTCAATTCTAGTCTTAGCCGGAGAGAACATCGACAAAAATATCTTTAAGTTCCAGCGTGTGGCGACTCCATTACACTCACTGCCAGAATTCTATCTACCCTAGTAGTTCCCCCGGGCATGCGTTGACGACACAAAAATGTGAAAAAATTTTAAAAGAGAAAATCATCGCTCGCTTTAGCCCTCTCCTTCGCAATCTTCTTCACTAGCATTCCTCAATTTCTCTCAGTGCCTCGTCTAAAACCGAGCACACTCGGTCAGCATCCGTGTTCGTGAAGCACATTGGAGGCTTGATCTTGATCACGTTGTTATCAGGTCCATCGGCTGATAGCAGCACAAATTTACCTTTTGCCCTGTTAAAAATGATTATTATCAGACGGGTGGAGAAACAAAGTAAATGATTTGAACCCAGGAGTAACATTTGATTCGAATATCTGAGGAGAATGTGCTGCCTTTGAATGACATCTACGACTGGTTAGACATCCTAGTCTTCTGGGATAACGAAGAGAAACCGTCTGCCCCTTTTACTGCACCGTCCCTGTACTGATTAGCAGGGGACGTTATAGAATCCACACACTTATCGCAAAGAGTAGAGAACGTAGCTCCCGGTGTTGTGGAGTCTAGCCACCCTAAATTTCCTAAATTGCAAAATTTCCCTCAGAAAATTGTAAACTACTCACTGCAGTCTGGCTTAAGTCCCCCGCAAAGTGTTGGATAATGCGTCATACAAATGCATAAACATTGTGGGAATGGCCTATTTATGCAAGGCAATTTGAGAAATAGATGGTCCAGTCACCGAGACCAACACAAAGTATTCATTCTTACTTGTATACCACTTTTCTTGCCTCTTCTGCGGCTGGTTGTTTTGTTGTTCTATCAGTCACCAGTTCCACTCCAATGAAAAGCCCCATCCCCCTAAAAAAAAAAAAAAAAAAAAAAACATCAGGTTAAGATGAAAAGGTCTAATCTGCACACAGACGAAAATCTCTGACAAACTTTGCTGAGAAAATTTCTCAAATGAGAGAGCTTTGCTTCTCAAAACATTAGCACTTGACATGAAAATCACCCTTCCCCCCCTCCCTTGGAAGTGTTTGTGTACCTTGCTAGTCTTTCTGGATGAGATGCTAACCCACTGCAGGTTAATCATCCCCCATCCTCCACCCCCCTGCCCACTATCAGTATTTCCCCGAGTATCCCATACAGTTCACCAGTTCCCATTTACACTCCTTGACATTAACACTTAAGAGGACTTAAAAACACTTCAACAAGACAATGAAACAATAAAAAGCAACAAGGTAGTAATTAGAGAAACAAAAAAAGGCACTTTGTTGAAACAACAATTTAAGAAACTGAAAAATTGGTATTGGTACTTAAATTGAAACAACAGGGGAAGGGGAAGGGGGAGTCTGACATAGGGACCAGCTGCAAATTGTATCATTACCAAAATGTATACCTGCTTCAGAGGTTTTTTTCCTTCCCACCCTTGCAAGGCCACAGAACCTCATCTGTGGGGAAGTGGGACAGTGACAGACAACTGACTGATGATGAAAAAATCAGTGTTTACCTAACTTCTCCAATGAGCCTGTGCTTGGTTTGAAGTTGTAGCAACTTGTTCTTTAAGTAATCACCAGTCTCAAGGGCATGCTGTTGAAGATTCTCATTCTCAATGATATCCAAAACTGCATTGCCAACTGCACATGATACTGGGTTACCTCCATACTGCAACACAATTTTCAATGGTTAAGAACAATTTAAACAACATAACTTCTCATGTAAAATCTTTGACCATGAACTTAAAAAAAAGACTCAGACGGTACTCTAGAATGAAACTGAAACACTGTACCAAGAAACATAAAGTCTACAGTCACATTTTACAGAGATGATCTTATTTTATCAAGATGGGTGCAGGCAAAAATTTTGAAGGAAGGATTTCACAAGGTGGCAACCTACTCAATCAAGTCAAGTTTATCATTTTTCTGTAACATTCCTTACTAAGTGGCTATAGAACTCAAGAGACTATTGTGAGATTGCCAATGAAATTCTATAAATCATGGTTACTTTGGGTTTGAAATTATGCACTATCATGCGTTCAAGATCACTCCTAGACACTTTGTCCTCCGTTGTATTTGTCAGGTGCTTAGATGTGGGCTTTGACTAGTTGCTATGGCAACCACCTTACTGCTGAGGATATTGCTGATGCTGCCCCTGCCTACCACTAGCGTTGTCAAACCCACCCTCCAAAACTACTGACTAAGTGTTTAATATGGAACTTTCAAGATAATTATCATTCATATCACAAACCAACTGAGAGAAAACCTACTGTATTGAAATAGGACATGCCAGTGGCAGCAAAAGATTCTGCAAGTTCAGGTGTCGTAATGACTAGTGCCAATGGGTGACCATTACCAATCGGCTTACCTAACGTAACAATGTCCGGCACAACACCTAGGGAAATGCACAGTTATGATCTGGCATACTCTAGCATGATTATGATTGTAATCATTAACACATGGTGCCAGCACTTACACAATAGTGCAAGTATCCTAGAATAAAGGCCAGGTAGGAGAGGGAGTAACTTGGTCAAATAAATACAGTTATGTCCTGGCCTAGACATTTGGATTTGCACACCACCATACTAGAGGTCACAGAGTAGAAGACTTGGTGGACTAGTATGGAAACATCTGGTAGTCCATAAAAATGCAGTACGAGTTAATCGGAGAAGGGAGAAAAAAAAATTAAGAAAAAAAAAAACAAGAGAAAATACAAGAAAGCATTGCTATTAGTGTCTTGTGCACCAAAATAATTTTCTTTGGACATACTAAAAGTAAACTTGCTACTTCAGTAAATGTAAGGTATGTCCACCACCCTTCTACCAGTAGTGTCTCACTTACCTTGAGACTCAAATGCCCAGAAGTGTTTTCCAGCTCGTCCAAATCCAACCTGAACCTCATCAGCAATACACACTCCTCCAGCCTCTCGTACATACCTTTAGTTAACAATCATTGGTTTAAAATTACTTTATCAATTTGAAAGTGCTGATCACAGGCAAACCAGCTGATGAAAATCCAAGCCACTTATTGATCGTACAAAAAATTCCAAAGAGAATAAGTGGCATCAAACTAGAAGTACAAAGCTGAAATGGACTGTAAAGGAGTCTTTAGGGTCTCCGAGATCCTGCACGAAAACTAGTGATTTCGGCACATATCTTTCAAATCTATAAATACCAAATTAAAGCATTGAACTTTTTGACTCCTGAACTCTCATGAGTGACCAAGAGAGAATTTCTCCTTACAATATTAACACTATACCAAGTAGACAAGTGATGGGAATAAAGAAAAATATTAATCAGGGAATGATTAGTTGATCCAATATAAGATTCTCCCAAACTAACATTATGAGAATTGTACGGCAAAAAGAATGGAGAATTACTAATAAGATCTTAGGAATTAGGGTCAACTATACTGAGTGTGACAAGTGACATTAACAGGGGAAAATACATATCACTATGTGTTTTCTTGGTATGCCTCTAAATACTTCCCTGAGAATTTAGAGAGACTTTATCCAGAGATTATTTCATACTAAGGAAATAATTCACTTACTTGTAGACTTGCTTCAGGTAGTTTGGTGGGTAGACTACCTGACCTCCACAACCTTGCATTGATTCACTGATAAAAGCTGCAATCTACAAGTCAGAATGAACATTGTACATCACTCCTCTCCTCCACTCATCAAGTATCATGACAGGAAGGAAATGCTGTGTGCTATAAATACCTCCTGTTGTCCCTTATGAAGCCTTAGAAAACTTTTCTTGTGAGCGACTTTGGGAGTTACTTACAGTACATGTGGTTTCCATCCGGTTGTGGATAAAGTGTGGAGTAAGAGGTGAATGTTTATCCACTTTTGTGGTCAAAACCAAGAGACTAATTAGTTTGTACAATCTCTACAGAAGATGCTTAAATCTCAAGAGAAAAAAAAAATTGTTGTTGGAGTGTTAGTGAAAGACTGGGTACAAATTTGTACTCTCCACCGGCATGGGTCTTTAATATGGTGTGTGTGTTGCAAATTTTTTTTTCAAAACATGGAACATTTTAGTCATTATTCCTCTCTTCAGATGTGGAAAACTGCTCTGAAGAAATCTGGCTGTACAGTTCCCCCCCCCTCCCAAATTTCGTAGCAGAGTCCCATCTACACCAAGATATAAATGGCACATAATAACAGTTTTCTATCTGATTCCAAACTGCATGTAGATACCTTTCTTCCATCTTTGTGTGCTTGATCAATGAGTTTCTTGACTTCTAAGGCATACTTTTCTCCAAGTTCAGGTGTGGCTTCTCCTTGGTATATCCCACGATATGGATCAGGAGTAGGAGCAACATGGACATAATCTTTCTTGCCCTTGGCACCCAGTTTTCTGAACTTGTAAGGGCTGATATCAATCAATGCTGTGGTATGGCCATGATATGCTCTGGTTGAAAAAAAAAGTTGCTATCTGAAATTTTAACCCTTTGAAATGTCTTGTTTCTTTTTCACTTTACATCAATTTTATGAATAAGGAGACATTATGATAAGACAAACAAATAAACAAAATTACACAATAAAAGTTCCATACCTGTCTACAATGACAACATCATCAGCACCAGTGTGTTGTCTTGCTATTCGCAGAGCAAGATCATTTGCTTCTGATCTGTAAACAAACATGTGACAAATGCATAAACATGTAATTTCCAAACAGATGCTTAAAGAAAATAATAGATATATCTGTTCACCAAAGGTACAGTGAAGAAATTCCTCATCTCTACCACAGTTTACTAACACATTAAATGTAAAGCAAAGTTTAGAAATGAGAATTATAACAGGTAGCTTTTTGTCAGCTGCTTGAAAGGGAAAATGTCTAATTCTCTAAGGTAAGAAAATTACCAATAGCATCCTTGGAACAGTTTACTGTTGAAGCAATAGGATACTAATTTTTTCCTTTCAACCAGGTCCACTGGCTCTGACCTCAACCCTATGAATGCATATTTAGTTTTCTCAACTGAGTTCAATATATAATTAGCTGTTGCAGGAAGCTCCTTCAGCTGATCTTTTAAGCATTACCCAAAAGGCTAAAACTCTCAGTTGTGGTGGATTTCTACTAACAATTCATTTGTCAAAACCAAATATAGTTTCAAGTGTTTGAGGTCAGTACTAGTGGACCATGGTTCCTTGCCAGCTGTGAACTTACCCCGTGCAGACAAAATGACATTGGCTCAATTCAGGTGGGAATGTGGCTGTCAGCCTCTGTGCATACTTAACAATGATGTCATACAAAAAACGGCTGTTGGTATTAAGGGTGGCCATTTGCTCGTGACAAACTTTAACAACATGGGGGTGGCAGTGACCAACTGTAGAGAAAAGGAGGGGTCATTTAAAAATGTAAGAATTTGGGAAACATTATATATTATGATAATTTTGTGTCAATTGTTACATTTACCACAAAAAGAATTAATTAGACAAAAGTAACTGACAATTTAGAATATTGCATTTAGAGGGAATGGCAGACAAACTAAAATCCAACTCACATCAAAAACGGTCTAGAAAGGGAATGCACACAAAAGTTAGATTGAGTTTTTTTTTATTTTTTTTTACCATAGCTGTTCATATTTTAGGTTAAGAATTGGACAGATCTTTCCCATGCTGCTGATATTTTACTGGCTGCATCACCGTTTACAAATTTATTGAGGCTTACTGTTCTGTAAAAGACCTTTCTTGTTCTATTTTTATAGTACCAATATTTCATTGAGAGCAATTTCTAATCCCTCAACAGATAAAAATTTTACAGACGTACCATGCGTGACATTATTGACACAATCCAGATACTGGTTATCCTCTTCATCATACATGTACTGTCCTCGTGCATAGGCAATTTTGATTGGATTCTCTTTGAAATGGACTTCACAGGCTTTCCTGTACAAAACAAAGAAAAAAATTCTAATGCATGCAGTTTTCTTCTTAAGAAATAAAAAATTAAATATGTTACTTTACAGAGAGACTTGGTGAAACTAATAACTCTTCAGCAATGATGTATCTTGAGCCTTCAAATTCTAAATTAAAACCCTCAGGCAGCTCAGACAGCTTAGGAGAAAGATATCATGTTTAAAAAAAGCCCTTACCCACAGTATTAGTTTAAAAAGAAAAGTATCACCAAACCATTTACCCTCCACCTGATCAAGCTTCAGAACCAAAACTCTAACTCTATAAGTTCCATTCCTAACATAGTGACAAATGTGTAACTGCTCTATTCAACATATATTAGTTATCCAGCCAACACTCTCATCGACCCAATTCTCATTAACTCCCAAAATTGATTAACTTATAACTTCTCCCTACAAAATCTAAACACTATTCAACAAACAGGTACTGAGAATACTCAAACTCATCAGGTAGGAGTTGCTATCTTGATCTTATCTTATCTGATACAGGGGAAACTTGAAGAAGCTTAAAAGGAGAATTAACAATCAGATCTCAGGAGATAAAGGGTAAAAAAAAAAAAAACAACAGAATTCTCTCTTACAAATATGAAAAAACCTTAGCAGTTCAATAAGAGAATTAACCTTTACAAACTAAAATCAGTATGAACATTCTCCATGCCGTTCTCTAAACATTTTCTGCTGTGCTGACAAGGAGAACTTTTAGAACAATCAGGACTTTGTCTGTTTTGGTGACCATTTCCTCAATTCTTCTGACCTTGATCATGACAGGACAGAAAATGCGTGCACTGTAAGTACCTCCCGTTGTCCCATACAAAGTCTTAGAAAAGTTTTCTAACACTTTGTATGGGACAATGGGAGGTACTTACAGTGAATGCTTTTTCTGTCCTGTCATGTATGATGCTGGGATGATATTGTAAGGAGAATTTAGATGGCAGTCATTCTTAGTGGTCAAAGAGTTAATAAAAGCCAACCAAATTCTGCTTTTCTACTACAATAGAACACTATGAGGAGCTAGAGAACAGAACTACAAGCTGAGCCATGCATATATTGGGAGTAAAGTAGGATAAAACTCTTTTCTGCTATGGCAATGTCAGCCACCTGACCTCACAGTTGACCACAATGTCCTTATAGATACCTCCAGTCAGCTCAAAAGTACCTTTATATATAGACTCGTTATGCCAGGGACAGGGTCATAGACAGATCTTTGTGTTCCCTGGCTATGCATCACCAATGCTATCATAAAACAGCTTGATTTTAAGGTTGTCATATAACAATTGAAAATTGCTATGGGTCAGTGGTTGCAAAAAAACACTTGGATATAGAAAGAAATTATGCACGTGGAACCGGATGTGAGGTTGACACACGAAACACATTTCACCCAATGAAGAAACAAGCTACGTGGACAATTCGTTGATTAACATCCGACTTTGATTGTTCAGCTCCAGTAAAACCTGTCAACCGCTTACGGAATATTCTTTCAGCAAGCAGAGGTCGATACGAACGACATCATCAGTTTTATAATAAGTTCGCAAAACCATGCTTGAAACGTATTGTAAAACAAATCGCCGACATTCCATGTATTTTTTCGCTGTTCTAAGTCAGAAACTAAATTAGTAGTATTACTCTTCTAAAGCCATGATCGGGAATGTCGTGAAATGTAAGCTTACAATTGCCGTCAGAAAACGACGTAACCACAATGACCGATCGACGGAACGAGTGGCAACCTTTACTACCGTTTGAAACAGAAAATCCACGTCGTTTTCTAAGGAAATTCAATCCTTTTCATAATCGTTGTCAACTTTCGCGTGCCTTTTAGTAATTGTAGCTACTGTTTTCATAATGAACACATTAACCCTCGAAACTTACCCAATGTAGGCAGTTCGCAGTCCCATTATCTCGTCCTTGGAGAGTTCGTGCGATTTTTTTTCGCTTTCGATTCCGTTCGTGCAATGGTAGCCGTTTGTGAGCTTCTCATGGGTTTCGGTCGTCGGCACATCGAGCTTTGCTCTCTTCGCCACGCTCATGTTAATAAATTTTTCTTTTGACGAGATTCAAACCTCCCCGTCGAACAAACAGGAAAGCGAAATTTTTTTTTGCCGGCGAGTTGAGATCTCTTCTTTCAAATTTTCGCCGCGTGTTGTCACGAGATTTCTTATTTACAAATAACAGGTCAATCAAGTTTCCTCTATTACGTCACTGGCCGAAGGAAGGAGGTTTCTCACTCTCAAAATTAAACTTCCCTTTCCGATGACAGGAAAAAGAAATTTAAAATAATTGAAATTAGATATGTAAGTGTCGGATATTTTGCGGGATAGAACACGAGGATTTAACAAGCTCAGAAAGACAAAGCTGTTTTGATACGGTGTAAAGTTGACCTTCACTCATTTCCGATTCCCGCCAAACCTGTTTCGTTACATTGACCGCAAAAATAAACCCTTAACTTCCTTTTACCGGATCAATATCTTTAAAACACGCTTTACCACATCTTGAAATAGAGAAAATGGGGTGATTGCGAAAGAAAGTTCAAAAGCTTTCTAGTTACATTGTGAGTGACTGTAAATTATCAATCTCGAAAAAGAAAGGAAAGGAAAGAAACCTGTCTACAAGTCGTTCAGATGGTAATCTTTCAGTATCCTCAAGCAGCTACTCAATATACTGAAGAAATATGGAATTTTCAAAGAAGTATTTTGACCAGTATTGTGCTTGTTTACCGGTTAACAACTCCTTAGAGATGCAGCTGTCAACTTGTCACACATATATGTGAGGCCGGCAGTCTGGAAAAGTCCCCCGCACAGTGTTGTAAAGCGCATTAGAGCATTTACATGGAAATGCGCTATAGAAATTGATCTATATTGATCTATATTATATATTATCACCCATCACGCGATTAGAAACGTCTGACGCAATAACATAGGAACGCATCGCGTACTTTTTGCGTGATCAAAAAGCGCTCTCCTTTGCATTCTTATTTATGGAGTTGAATTCTACCCTCACTTTTTCAAACTTTTTACAGCTGAGTCTGTGCAAAAATTACCAACAGCACATTTGGAAACGTAGTCTTTGTTTAAAGTATCTAATTTCTTACCTCAAAATAGTCGTTTCCATGATTGGATGCAAACATAAAGATATCTGCCATTGGATCGTTGACCGTGCGATTTAACCGTCTCTCAAACAAGTACTTTTGTTATTTAAACAAATTTAACATTGATTTCACGCTGCACAATTTTTAAAACGCTTAAATTTAATTATTTTTGGCTTTTAATTTTGCAACAACCAGATAGGAATAATATACCTCTCTTTAACAACTCGATCTTAATTTCCTAATTAAAACCGATAAATAACAGTCTGAAAATAAATTGCTAACGAAACACACAAACTCCCTTACGGATTTATTCGATTAAGTGCCCTGGGGGCTTACTAAATATTTGGACCTTGAAAGTGGGCGCTTATTCGAAGATGGGCCCTTAACAAACTTTTATCATTTTCAGCAAGAAGTAAGTTTATTTTGCAACAAAACAATGAATTATGAATTCAGAGATTGTTCACCAATGCAGAAACGACTAACAATACTCCTCTTGTGATCTTCAAATTTTTTTTTCCTTTTTTTGTGGGGGGGGGGGTGGAGGAATTTTTCGAGGTTGGGTGCTTAATCGAATAAATACCGTTATGTCCGGCAGTCATTCGGTTTTCGTGGCCCTTGATCACGCAACTGGTAGTCACATAATAACTTTTCTGCTTTTGGACTTCCCTTTGGCTTTGCATCAACGGACTACAATTTCTCACGCGTTAATCGATTTGACTTTTTCGTGACACTTAATTGTCTAAGAGTCACGCACTATATGGAGAACATATGTAGTACACCACTTCTTATGCCTTTGGAGTTGCCTTTCTGACGGAGGGTGTGTTCACCGCATGATTATCAGTTTCGCGAGGTCACGTAACCGTTAGCTAGGGCCTGGTCGTCACACAATACTTAAGTATACAAAGCAGTCCGCTGCCCTTTTTCAGTTCTTAACCACGAAACGATCCGAGGGACTTGCCGTCACACAACATCTTTGCAGTTTGATTTGTAAGATTCACAATCATTTTCAAGACTGTAGTTCAAGGTGGCGGCATTTTCTTCTTTATTCTCAGGTTGTTCATCATCAGTATCATCTTCGTAATCTTTATGCAACTGACGTATAAATGTATATAGCTTTACTGTCACGGAGCTGGCTGCTCGAATTTGTTTTCCGTATCGCTGCATCAGCTTCCAAACATCACCTGAGGACAAATTACTAATTTTAAATACCAAAAATGAAGAAAAATTTAAAAGGCAATGCTTTTAGGAGATGGGGTATAATACACTTTATAACAGCACTTACATCACCTGACAATTTTTCCAATAAAGTGCACGTGAAGAATGCTTATTTCACCGTACTTCAGGACTCATTTTCAACAGGTTCGTAACTGACATTTTGTTACAAGACAAACTTCAAGATTTACCTGGCGAAAGGTACCTTTTTTTATGTTGTACAAAGTAACCAAAACCGGTTATCAAAAGTTCACGCAATTCTCGCACTTCTCTTGAATATGATTCCCACTTACCAACTGTTAATTTTCGTTCTGTGATAAACGAATGAATACTGAGAAGATCTTCCGCTAATTCCTGAAAGAAATAGAGAGGGGTCGGGGAGTCATTCTGAACATCAAATACGAGAACTCCGGGCACAAATTGCTTACAATCACCAACGTTTGCTCCCTCTAGCTTTTTCTCACACTTCCATTGGTAACTCCATAGTAATCGATGGCTCTCTTAAAATCCCTTTTTTCCTGATAAGAAATCCCGAGACTTCCATAAATCTAACCGGCGTTCTCTAGCGCCTCGTAATCTTTGGTCGAATGTCGCATTAAACATAGAATAACCGTTTAACGTGGCTCAAGACTATTTCACTACACATTTTTTCCTCATTCAATGAAAGCAAATCACTAAAAATACGACTGTGAAGTGAAACCATATGGTCTGTTAGCATTTTCCGTGATTCTCACAATGACTTTGCAATCTCATTGCCACTTCTCGAGTCGCAACTTACAGCATCTCCAAACGTGAAATAAACCACGTCCCTAGACCCGGTAGCACACGCCATCATTTGAATTAAACCTGAAGACATTACAAAAAGACATACTTTAGGACCTTCACACTGCCATTGTCAATAACAGCGTAGTTGTAAGGAGAAATTACCTACTGATCATACCTTGGATTGAAAGGGTTAATGAAGAAATAAAAAAATGACCGAACAAACCTTTGACTCTAGGATCGCCTCCAAAGGCGCCACAGCCCCAGTTTCCTACGAAGAGAGGAGAAACGTAAGTTTAACAGCTACTGTGTTGACTGCATCATAAATTTGATTTCCCTTTGGGAGTCAAAAGTGAAACGGGATTGCGTTGGTTTGTCTTCAACACACTCCGCGCCATTCGTCACGAATAGTCGCCTCACCCTATCAACCAATCAGTAACCTGGTCAACCGCGTTTTCCCGCGCTTTTGACTTTGAGTTTTTATTGGCTGGTATAATAGTTTTTTCCACTGTTCTGTTTGGCAGTTGTGACTATTCAAGTTGAGGTTTTGCGACACTCATTCGAAACGCGTTTTAAAGGTTCGTAGACGTATCTCTCACTTTCCAACAAAACTGATTACGCAGAATAATTTGAAATGCCTTATCACATGACTTCTATGTAGTAAATCTACAGGATGCAAGCCTCGACGTATTTCTAAACTTACGAACATGTCTGCTATAGCTGTATTCGTCTCACCTGTGGCAATCGCTGGAAGATATTTCCGTTCTACGGGGGAGTAAAACCCACAGTACGCCTGTAGGAGAAAAGTGTTATGTCATACGTCAATAAAAGACTGAAGACTCTGGAAGACAATTTTCTCTCGAAAGTTGGAAATGAGAACTAGCAAACTTGCGGAGAAGGAAGGTCGAGTAGTCCTGGTTCGAGTCCTATCTGGGTCACTGTACCTTGTCCAGTTCTCTCTTGAGCAGACCATCTTGAAACTGATCGGTATAACAGCGAAATACTTGTGCATCTATGGCCACGATCTTAGAGTGCCGTCTTCCCCAAGAATCCCTAAAAAAAAACGTGAGAGAGCGAAAAATACGTTGGCACAAAATAACTTCAAAGTTGTAGGAAAACAGTTAGAACTCTGGAATGCGAAATGTAGATGTTAGTATTGATTGATCTGTTCTTTATTTCTTTCTCTTTCTGTTTCTAATTTATCAAGGCCAGCAAAAAGGGAAATCCGAGACTCGTAAAACGCCTAGCCCCCTGTTTGAAAAAGCCATGATCGGCGACGAAACATATATTTTAACCACACGTCATTGCGACTGACCATTACAAGGTGTTGGCGATGACTGGGAAATGTTGCGTTCGAGTTCCGATACTCTCTTTTGCCTCCTTTTTTCCAGGGGAATATATCAGCGCTTACATTGCAATATTTTTTAAACGACAACGATGATACACAGACCTTCTCCGCTCACATCATAATTTTGAGCAACTCTAGCTACCGTTTGCCCGAGACCTTCGCTTATGAAAACAAATCCCAGACTTTGCGAGCTATGGAGTGAAGAAATATGAGAAATTCTAGATACTTGTGACTTGAGATCTTCAACAGCAGCACTCAGATACCTTGTTGTTCTATCGCTATGGTTACCAGCCCATCTAAACGTGTGCGCATATCCCGTGTAATCACTGTAACGCTCTGCGCCTAAAATACAAAGTGCTTATTAATCGTGCGAACAAAGACTAGTCCCAACTGAAGGATAACGTAAACTAGAACAGAAGGTTTTTGACTCTCTGAATCACTGCTCAAAAAGGCGTAAGGCGCCAGAGCAAGTTTGAATTGAGTGTCACTAACTGAGATAAAGTGCTTTTCGATTGATGGTCGTAAAACAAAAATCAAAGTAATCAAAACGGCCAATCAGAAGAAAGGCAAAATAACTTAGATAGCCAATGGAAATTCAAAGTAAAAATCACCAAACTGCCTGAAGCGATGAAAAATGCGTGCGACCAAGTGTGTGATTGGCATCTGATTGGTTGAGAGATTGGCGCGAATTTTGTAGATCAATCACAGAGAATAGTAAACCAAAACTAAAGTACAGTCAAAACTCGCGCCAGCCTCCTTTCCAATTAGACGTAAACTAAAGCCAAGAGAACTTGGTCACTCGTGTGTTTCCGCGCTTGAGGTACTACGCTTGTTTTAAATTAGATTCTGGCATTGGCTCCTCCGCCCCGATTGGCCCTTATGATTTCTCTGCTTCTGGCTTTGCGACACTGAAGTAAAAACACCACAAATTTAAGCAAAAACGCTTGCAAGCCATGGGATGCATTAGTAATCGGATTCACTGCCCAAAAGTATACTGAACCAGCACTGAGAGCCACGTTCATACGACGGCCACCGCGTCCAGAAAATTTGCGCGCAGTTGGTAAATAACTAGTCGTATTTAACAGGTCGGTATATACCGGGGTCTGTTATGTTATCGTGCTCAGCCTTTACTTAATTACCTGTTATAATGAGACACTCATTGTTATCAAGCCGCTCGCAAAACAGCCGTGAAAGTATCAGTTCAGGACATATAAGAAAGCGTATTTCTTCTTGGACACAACCCTGTAACGAAACCGGATCACTTTGATTAGAAATAAAAAATTGTGGAAGGTGTCTACTAGTTTGAAGAGTAAATATATATCGCTGAGAAGTTAACTCAACCAGTCAGTAAAAGCTCACCTCGCCTATAACACCTCCACCAATGTACTTGTTTGCAAAATCAACCTTAAACGAAATGAAAAGAGGTACACATGAGTTACTTATCGGTCATCAAAGACGATAATGAAGGACAGGAACGAAAACAGTCGCATCTTTCCTTTACGGCTATCTTGTGGACAGACAAAAATGGCCGTTGTAAAGGAGTGGCTGTATGGGGAGCTGGAGTGGGGATGCAATTTTTTGGGGGCTGTATTTTTTTATTTTTTTTTTTTTTTTGATCAAGAGTAGACCTTTCGTTTTTTTTAAGTCCTCAAATATTATCAAACTAAACAACACTCAAGACATGCGGATAGTGCAATAAAACAAACTCAGTTTTTAAGGTATATGTTGCTACACTGTTTGTCAGTTGATTTGGTGAGGTTACATTTCGCCTCTTAGGACGAACCTTGGTGGCCATTCCGTTTCTATGGGTGTGGCCGTTGTAGAAAGCTTAAATAAAAGTGCATATAAACACAGTCCGGGAAATAAAATGTGGACTTCACAAGTGAGTGGTTTGCCGTCAGATGCAGTTTACTTTCATAACACAAACCTGAAGAAATCCCGTTCCGTTGTCTTCAATTGTACCACTAGTGGAGACGTGAAGTTTTCCAAACAGCGTATTACATCTGAAAAAGCAACATTTTTGGAAATGAGTCAATAATGATGGCATAATAATGATGGGACACCTTAAGGTTTTCACAGGTTCAATAAGAAATCTGAAGATGTGAACTCACGTTATCAACAAAAAAAAAAGAAAAAAAGAAAAAGACTGAGGATGCTTCGACAATCTTGACGCGACCAGGTTTCAAATCAACCACAGTTATATATCAATTTGGAACATATGAAACTTCTGCACAATATTTTAGGAGGATTTAGGAGTTCTGAAACCAGAAAGGACAGTGTGTGGAAGCACCGTGCAGACAGAAAGCATTTTTTGCCATTCATTGCAAAAATGGGAGATATTATTGCAAAGTTCTGAACTTTCTGGTAGTTGTTCATAAAGGTACAAAACTGCTACCTATCGATCAGACACACTGATTAAGTCTTTTACTGCTAAGTTAAATCAGTTTAAGAGGCAATCTTTACAAACTGATTGACTTGCTCCGATATTTCTTTCCCGCAAGACATTTTGTAACTACCTTGACTACCCACTGTTCAAAGTCTTCGTTGAAAATTATTTACCATACATTTTGAGCGCACTGTCAGTTATAATTACCAATGCAAGATTACAAACGAAAGAATTACTTCGATACAAAACCAAATTCTCAAGACTAGCTCACAAAGAAATCTATGGCCACCGGTTAGGAGATTTTGGCGAGCGAGCGCCTGGTATTTTCTTGATGAAAGTTACAGCTACCGTCTTTGCCTTCAAAACAAGGATGGCTAAGTAAAAAAGATATCTCTACCAAGGGGGCGAGTGATGATTAAAAGGAAGGAAGGGGTAGGGGATGGGGCAATAGGAATCTTTTCGTCTTTCCTGGCCCCTCCCCACACCGTCTACTTCAACTCTAATTCCAACAGGGCCGTCCGGATAAACGATTGCGAGCTCGTAACGCTGACTTGTCTTAAAAAGACGCCCGCACTTCATGTTAGTTACGACTAACACATTTAGCTTAATAACGATATTTACCTTTCCCAGTCAGGCATGTCAGAAGATTCCACAACCTGTCTTTGAAAAGTAATAGTTCCCTTAGGCACTGTGGAAGAGAAATTAATAATAACACTTACAGAGGAATTTAAGCTGATTTAGTACTGATTTATCTAAAAGGCATGGCCTATAGGAATCGATATACAGAATGGCTGCTTTGTTTTTTCAGCCCCTCGTGGTTATTTTAGGCAGCCATTAACCTTCATTTCTTCAACGTCCTCACTCCGGGCAGATATTTGAACTTTTAAAGATTGGTTCGTTTAAATTCCCGAGCCCCCGGGCCAAAATTGCGTTCAAATGCTCTACCAAGCACAATTTTGTAGTTAACGATTCTTTGAGTGATTTTGGTGCCACTGTTGAGTTTTTCTCTTGTGAACATCAATCTTCGTTGTGAAAACTTACTTCTGAACCATCTTCTTAGAAAAGCGGACTTCTTACCTCCAAAGCCGGCGAAACACTTAGCAATTTTATATGCAGATCGCGGCGATCGGAGAAAATCGCCAGGTGTGATCGTTGCAGCGATTGCAATTTTCGGCGATTGCCACGATCGGCTTATAAAATCGCGATATCTGGCATGTCCGACATCTTCGATTTCCGTCGTCGATCAAACTCGCCGCGCGAATCTGAGCAAGGCAAGGTTACAATTCCCCACCACGGGACACGGACAACAGTCCAATAGGCCATTTTACAGTTGTGTACTTAGTTGCCAAGCCTTTGATTTAGAGTGAGGCTGAAGGTGACCTTGTCATGATAGAGACCTGTATCTAGTTAGCATGATAACAAAGTGATTTACATTTGAAAGGCAGCAAGGTTTGTATCATAACAAGGTCACCCTCAGCCTCACTCCCATTTAAAGGCTTGGCAACCAAGCACGCAACTGTAAAATGGACTATTAATGCCCGTGGGTTGTCCAGGAGGGATGCTTCAAATTAATCGCTGCATTAGCGCAAGAGCAAAACTAGGACTGTCTGTCTGTAGTGGTTCCTATATACTGAATACATAAGAAAAGCTGTCAAAAAAAAGATAGTAGGTTAACAAGGTGGTAGTGTTAATCACTTACTCTCCTTGATGATTCTCTTGAAGTAATGAAAGATGGCCTGAAGTTTTTCTGTTTTGACTGAATTTGTTCCTCCCTTCCCGCCTTGAAATAATCTTAAATACAGACAGAGAGATAAGAAGAAAGAAGAAAGTCTTAAGCACTCTAGACAACAAACGTGTCTAGTTACAATGATAAGGTTGAGATCGGACCTCAGCATTATCAGGCGCCTCTGGCAGCCGCTTCAGTCCATGTAACGATCTCACCTCCCCACCCATCCCACCTCAGGGGAGGACATCCACCACACAGTAATCTCGTGCGTGGGAAATTAACGTCTCCTTCCCCAACCCTGCAGGAGACGGGACCTACGGTTTATTCGTCCTTATCCGAGAAGACTAGAATATCTATCCATTTCTTGATATTATAGAAAGGTAGTAAATTCTCCTCAGTTATTTTAAGACCATGAGTATTGGTTCGGCCGGATCAATACTCATGGTCTTACTCTGAGATGTATCAAAGAACTATTTTTCTCCAAAATGGTTGAAATAGCAGCCGGGTAGTGGTCAGATCTACTTGCTTGTAATGAGCTAAGTGCGAGGGAAATTTTTTTTAAGGGGCGGGGGAGGGGAGGGGAGGGTGAGGAGGGAGGTGCACCATGCTTGCTTTCTCCTCAAATTTTGAAAAAGTTTCTTTCTAACCAACCATCTTGAGTGTGGTATATGCAGTTAGAGTTTAATTTTTTAAGCTTTCCTTATCTTAAATAATTCAATACACTCCCTATTAAAGTAAAAAGCCAAATGGTATTTTTTTTTTTTTTTCAAAATGACAGGAACAACTTACCTATTAAAATTTATATCTGGAAATGACGAATATTCGGAGTGTTTGTAAGAGTTGCGTCTTGGAAATGTACAAAAGAATGCATTGGCCAACAGACAGGCAGCCTGTAACATAATAGTTCATTGTATATCACTTGTGAAGAAACAGCCAAAGTACTTTTACTCTTACCAAATAATATTAATCACAGTCAGAAATATCTTTAAAATCCTTCCACAAAAAATTATTCTGACCTGCTCTTGGCTCATTGTTATACTGTGATTCTGTTGCCGTTTTAAAAGAGGAATGGCCTGCAAATAAAATTTTCAAAAGGAAAATGAAATTGGCTACAGCTCTTAAAAAAAAGAACTAAGTGATCCAGGTACTCTCATAAAAAAAGTTCTGATTGAAACTGCATAGTGTTCATAAACTGTCTTCAAGTCTGTTTCTAACAAACAGACACAGAAAACTGACAGATGCTTCATATTAGTTTGTAGGTGACCTTGTTACTAGGTGAAAAAAAAAAAAGAAAATTAACAATGTTGCATCAGATTTTCCAATGAAAAATATTTTCAAACCTGTGTACACAAAGTGGGAAGTTGAAGAGTAAGAGACACCATTTCTGGTAATGTCTTGCTGAAAAATTCATTTCTTTGGCTGACATCCAGTACCTGAAACAAATACTCACTGAATGGAACACAGAAAGCACAGGAAAAAGACTGTTATATCATCAGACAACGATTTACATTGTCCTGGTTGGTGGTTTCTCTCAGCAAATAGATTTTAGGCTACGGACAACCATTCTCTATCTCAATGGTAATTCAAAAAGCATTTTGGCAACTAACTTTGAGTCCAAGTGACCAAACTGACTACACGCCTTCATCTGTCATAGTGCAAATTGTGATATTTTCATTACTTTATGTTCATGGTCTAAAGTTATACTGACATAATCATTTCTTCTCAGTATTAAGCTCTAAGACATCATGCAAATTGATAAAATGATTGCCAACAAGCTTTCTTCTTCTTCAGGCAACTGAATTTTAAGTTTTGGGGAACAATAAATGATTTAAGGTGACCTTTTGAAAAATATGGAACTGGCAGCAGCACTTTGTATGGAATCTGAGTCTCTCAGGATAAATACTGTTATCCATCAATAAGGAACCTACATGCCACTGAACCTAGAGTAAGCAGGCAACTATGGCCTAGTCTGGTCTGGTTTTAATATTTACCTCATTAAAGTAGCTGTGTAGAGCTTCAAAGTTCCACCTCTTGGAGTAGTGAGCATTGTACTTTAAAATTGCATCCTTAGGACAAAAAAAGAGGGAAACAGAAAAAAAATCAACTACTTATAGATCACACTGCCTCTTAAGTTGTTAGTTTCTAAGAAACTGTGATGCTATATCAGTAAGTATCAGTACCATTCGCTCTGATAAAGGGCTAATGCTTGGAATGTCAGCTTTTTAACTCTTTACGGTGGCCAATTTACAATTTCAACTTAGATATTACCAAATTACAGTATTACAAGATAATTTGGTTTCACTGAGTTGGTAAATGTAAATTGGTCACCATAAAGAGTTTCTATTAAATAAAATGCTAATATTTCTTGAGGCTGAGTTCCTTAAGTCAGTGAATAGAGGAATTGCCAGTTGTTTTTGGTATAAACAGAAAGATGGAGCTTATAATATATACTACTACTGGTGGGAATATGGTAATGTAAAAAACAAGAATAAAACAAGAGAATATTTGTTGATACCATGGGATAAAGAGGGCTGATTTAAAAGAGGAATTTTTGTTCTGGAGTGTTGTGGTTTTCCAAACTGACTAGAAGCGGGGGAAGGCTGCAGACTGCTTAGAATGATTATACAGAGATCAGAGTGTGGATGCATTTTTGTCATTTCTTTCTACATTACAAAACTGTTCAGAGAGCCAAAAGTGCCAGAAATTTCTGAGATATATCCCAGAACTGGGTCAACTCCTGTTAATTCCTTTCATCTTGCATTCAAATGCACCTGAGTGGGAATTTCTGACACTTCTTTGGTTTTTCTTAATGTGCTTGTTTTGTAGAGTCTTCTTTTGTAGAGATCTGGACCCTGTTCTAATCTATACATACACACAGTTTATGCTAAATTTCCTTTTATTTGACATTCATCTTGTTTTAGGATCTTACCTGTAGATCAACTGAGTTTGTGATTGATCCTAATAAGGTTGCTTCTATTAGCTCCCATCTATTCTGAATAATTTTCTTTTCACACTTCTGAAGGAAAAAAAAAAACAAGTTAAGGTTTTATTTTAGCCTGAGTTACCATTACAAACTGGGAATTATTAAGCCTTTCACTCCAACTGTCTGACATCTTATTTTCTCGACAAATTGCAGCCTGAACATTTTCTTCTGCTCAAGTGCAATTTCTACAATTTTGGCACTGAATTTCTCTATCAGCTAAAAGTTAACAAATTTCTCAATTTTAAATTTATTGCTTATCCAGCAACATGGCTACTGCTTAACCAAGGACAAATAATTATTTCCTTTTTTCAATCTATCCCTTCAGATACTACTCTTAGCCAAATAATTAAATGAAATGTACAAGCAAAGAGTATTGCAAGAGTAATGTTTTAGTCCATAACACGTTATCCAAACTACCCACACGGTTGCTCTGACATAAAGTTAAATTACCTTGACGAGGTTTCTAAAATACTATTTGCAGACTGAAGCTCAAAGAAACATCGACTGATCACTGCTGATTTCACAGTATTAAAAAATATATCTATTTCCTCTGGTAGTTTTCTTTGAAAATATTTGTTATAATCATAATTGATCACTTTTCTAACTCTCCCTCACTTACAAGTATGCTTTGCTATAAACTTATATTGTAAGGAGAAATTAGACAATGATCACCTGTCCTGGGTAAAGGTTTTCTCTTGAGCAAGGCATCCTTACATGGTTTTTATCCCATCTGTCTCTAGAAGAAAATCATGAAAACAATTTGATTATTAATCATTATGAGTGAAAAAACAAATTAGGAGTACAATGAACTGTTTTAAAGAGGGATCTATGTGTTGCAAGCTGAATAAAAGAAGGGAAATCCATGGCTAATTGATTTAGCTATAATTAATTTAACAATAATCAATTGCTATAATGAAGAAAAAAGGGTTTTAGACTGGCTGTCATCTTGAAATTCTTAGGCAAAGAAATAGTTAAAACTAAATTATTTAATATACACTTAAGATAACAAAGTTTAATTGTAAAAAAGCTTGAGAATGGAGATCAGATTTCTCAAATCAAATAAAAAAAATTACCTGTAGTTTTTGTGAGAGGGTTTGGGAGGTTCAACAAAATCAGTTGAAAGAGAGGGCTGAAAAATACAATTATAGTAAGTTAGGAAAAAATGAATAAATAAAAACTCCCACAGTCTCATGGTATCACATAGCAAAAGGTCTTTTTCTATCATGTAAACTGCAGTGTTTTATAAACGATTACAAGCCCAGAGAATAACCATAACTGTAGGCTTGTAAAATTTGAAAACTTTTTTACATGTGTTTGATATCGCCAATTAGCTGCTAACATGTCCCTTGTCTTTTGTGCCTCAAATTTTCTCAAATCAAGGCATTCTATGAATTTAAAATTATGCTTATTGTTTACTTTTTGTAATAATTTAAAACTCTTTGAGCCTAATTGCCCACACACTTAATGACTTTTTTCTGTGGATTTTGAATCCTTCTTTTTACGATCATTAATTAAGTTGACTTTTCTTGTCATTTAAGACCTATGGTGTTTATATAATAAACAATTAAAATAATACATAAGCAGATAATGGAATTTCTCTTCTCATGTTCAACTGGATAACTTAG